GGCGAGACACATGGACGATCTCGGTCCCGCGACGACGGCGATCAGAAGCCGAAGTAACCGGCGCGACGCGATAATTTACGGCCGATGTTCGTTCAAGCACGGTGTAAGGACCCAGGTATCTGTGAATGAATTTTTCACAGAGGCCGGGTGTGCGAACAGGTGTCCAGAGGAGCACTTCGTCGCCTGGGTAGAATGACACAACTCGACGTGTCGCATCACAACGAACTTTTCGCTGGGCCTGAATGGTAGAGGTGTTGGCGCGGGCGATTGTGCGGCAGTGGTTGACACGGGCAGCGAATTCTTCCGGAAGGGACGCAGATGGGACAGAAGGCGTGGACAAAAAGCTGGTGTCTAGAACAAAAGATGGTGCACGGCCATACACAAGAAAAAACGGGCTGTAACTTGTAGTGCGTTGTATGGCAGTGTTATAGGCAAACGTGACGAAAGGTAGTATTGTGTCCCAGTTCTTGTGATCGGGTTGGACATACATAGAGATCATGTCTGACAAAGTTCTATGAAAACGCTCAGTAAGACCATTGGTTTGCGGATGATATGCCGAGGTGGTCTTATGGATTGTGTCAGAGGCCTGTAAAACTTCAGCGAGCACAATATATATATATATATATATATATATATATATATATATATATATATATATATATATATATATATATATATATATATATATATATATATATATATATATATTTAGGTGTGTAATGGTAAAAAATGAAAAAAAAAAATCAACTCAGAACACAAAACGAATTGTCGCTGAGGCCACAGAGTTTTCTGTGGGAAACTCTATGACTCCTAGAGTTAATACACAGACTCTACAGGAAAAGCTCCCAATAGCGCTCATGCTGGGATAATCTCGCGGTGCGCTTTCGTCGCTAACGCTCACTATTTTGCTACAGCAGAACTGCACGGCGCTGTAGCAACGCGGTTTTACGCGTTCGCCGCGGCCACGAAGGCTATTTTCTGTAGGGAAAAATATATATACATAAGCGACGCTCTTGGAACAATAATGCTGCACTGTTTAAAAAATACTTGCGCAAAAAATGAATGAAAAATTTCTAGTATGGCTTGAACCAACGACCGCACTATTCTGCACGTGCTGCGTTAGCTCACCATGCCACTGCTGCCGACTGGTTTGGTGGGTTTAACAAGCCGGTTTTGTATTGTTGTCACGCTGGACGTAACTCTACGTCTTCTTTTTACGTCTGGACGTAACTTTAAGGCTTCTATTGTTACGTCTAGACGTAACACTAGACACTTCGTAAAACGAATTGTGCTCTAAGTGCCACCTCCGAGCACATGGCTTTTTTACGAGAGGTAATCAAATATATATCAGGCTGAAGATTTGACAGCCCTCGACAGGCGCACAGTATTCGTGGCTGGCTAGTCACCATTCAGGCTGTCCTTATGCTGTGGGAAAACCTTCATACTTGCCTCCTGACTCGTCGCCTCCAGCAAGACTCGCTGGAGAATCTATTCGGCACTTTGAGGCAGAGGCATGACTTCAATGAGCATCCTAATGTGTTTCAATTTATTGCTGCGTTGAAACACGTTTTCGTTGGGAAGCCCCCAATTCTGCCATCGCGCGGCAGTTGCGTAGTGGTGGATTCACACCTACTTGCACGTCTGTCTTTTGGTGAGCCTCGAGCTGAACAGGCTGTGATAACAGAAACGATTTTCCCAAGTGAGTACTCAGGTGACAACCTCCTTGACATCGTGGAAGAAAATGCTATGTACTGCTTTGCGAGATGCATCGCACAGCGATTTCTTGAAATTAGGCCAGCGGATTGCATCTGTGAGCCATTTTTAAGGAGTGCCGATCGGGAATTGTCAGGTTCCCACCAAACTTTAGCCATGCTTCAGTCTAATGATATGGAAGGCTGCCTTTTTGCCAGTTTGACGCTGCCTTCTGTTTCTTTTTTCGAGGTAGTGAAGGGCACGGAGAAATGTTTTGCGGAACGTATTGGTGTGGTCCCGCGTTCCTGCTGCGTGACTACTAGGCTGGATGATACGGTTTGACCAAAGAAACATTTTGCTCTGACATGTGTCGCTTGGACTTGCTGCGGCAATTCAGCTATCTCTACGGCTGATGCTGCATATAAATGGCATAGATCAGGCGCTCAAAATACTGCGTGAAAGAAAGTCTACTGCAAAAAGGTAACTCCAGAAGCTTGAACATTAAACCAAATTGCTTTAATAAAGCCTATTTTTTCAAGTGCAGCGTTTCGTGGGGTATTTTTCTGAATAAGCTATCTTTAAAAGACACTTTAGCGCACTTGCATGTCTGCGCTAAAGTGTCTTGATGCATATAAATGACATAGATCAGGCGCTCAAAATACTGCATGAAAGAAAGTCTACTGCAAAAAGGGAACTCCAGAAGCTTCAACATTAGACCAAATTGCTTTAATTAAGCCTATTTTTTCAAGTGCAGCGTTTCGTGGGGTATTTTTCTGAATAAGCTATATTTAAAAGACACTTTAGCGCATTTGCATGTCTGCGCAAACAGCGTACAAGGTATAGTCTTTTTGCAGACATTCACAGCTCGCATTGTTGCGCCATAATTCACTGCTGCCATGCGTCAAATTTGTCATCTTGTCCTTAATGCTGAGAAGTTGCACTAATACTACTCGGCATTCTCGCCACGAACACTTTAATTTTAATATTAAATTAGGAAGGCGCTCATTGTAGAAAAGCCAGAAATATTTTACTAAGTCTAGAACACATGCTGGGCCAAAAGCAAGTGCAGCAGAACAGTTGGGGGGCTTTCACCGGTTTGTTAAGGCGTCTTCAAAAGTCAAATAACAAATGAATTCCAGTCAATTACAAAACTAATAGTAAAGCTCAGATTTGTTCTACGCATCCAACATGACGCACGAAGCTGAACTTATGAGCTCAATCAATCAATCAATCAATCAATCAATCAATCAACTGATTGATTTCTTTCTATTAGGAGGAGCACAGGACTAAAAGCTCAGGAGCTTGACGAAGTCCCAACTCCGTTCCAGAGTCTGATCAAAAGGAAATCAAATGATTAAATGATTGATTGAATAAATAATTATATGTGATATATCCAGTGGAATAAATGGTCTAATGTCAAACCAAGGTGTTTATATGCGTATACTTTATCAATGCGAGTTCCCCAATGAACTTGTTTCAGGTATCACTTTTCGCTTAGTGGCGAAAACAACGTACTTTTTTTTTCGTAATTAGTATAATTTGCGATACAAAACCCAGAGCTTCAACCACTTGTCATGATTCGCTTCGTAAAGATGCCTGGATTTTTTACAAGGATGGGGTAGGGGGAGTCCTTTTTACAGTGATGTGAAATACGCTGATGGTTCATCACAATTTACCTTGCACTCTGTTGAAACAGTTCATTTCCTCTTTCGGGTCGGTGACACGGCCATGACCGCGACGCATTCAGCCAGCAGAAACGTCATCCACTGCAGATTTCCTGTCGGAGAGGTTTGTTTGGATCAGAAAAAAAAAGTTTTGCACCATGTCTCCTTGTATTTGGTGCCGCGACGCAGACCGGTCCTTATCATAGGCGCAGCACCATTTGCGTTGCGTGGTGTTATTTACCTGCGACGCCCATGGAGCGGCGTTGACACGCCGAATGCATGCCGAATGCACGCCTCATCACTCTTCTTCAGGGTGTCATCATAAGCCAAAGAACAGTGGGTGTCATCAGAATAAGGTATCTTCGCAGTAACTTTTTGTTTCTGTTCTCGTCATGCTCTTTCTTTTTCTCCGTTTTTATTTTATGCGCCTCCTCCGCTCTCGTTATCTATTTTTTTCTCGCCTGGTTTTTCTGTTTTCCTTCTTTTTTCCCTTTTCGATCTCCTTCTGATTCATTCATGCTTCCGCCTATTTTATACGTGGTTTTGCCAGCGTTACGCCAAGCGTACTAGCTGTTTTTTTTTTTTTGCTCATCGTCAGGACGAGAGGACTTCTCCTTAGGAGCGTTACGTCCAGTGATGACCACTTCCCGGCCCTTTAAAAAGGTGTACACTTATAAAAAAATTTCGGTTGTACACAGGAAACAGAAGCAGACGTTTGTTTTTAGTTCAGTGCAGTCGACTGAAAGGCGTTGAATGAGAGGGAGATGCGATTTTGGTCAAAGCCTAAAGCAACTGCGTAATTATCCAGGTGGAGACTCAATATAAAAGGTAAGAAAGAGTAGAGAAAAACATCAACACTTGACAACACTTTGTACGGGTTATCACGAAACGTATAATTGTTTGACGGGAATGCTAGGTTGTCCGAAATATATCCTATTATGAAATGCGTGAGGTAGTAAACGCCCGTCTTCTATCTAGCATGTGCATGCAACTAATGCATTGCGAAGGCGTCGCACCTGAGCCTTGATGTGCAGGAAGGCAGGAGGGGCTATCGATCGATATAAATTGTATTACTGCATCTTTAAAAAATCGGTGAGCGTGAAGAGAACGGAGTAAAAAAAAAGAATGACACAGTCTAAGAAATCAAAATGAAACCCTTCTTAATAAAAAAGAAGGGTGCACACCAGCTGAACCACCTGTTTGTTTACTACGTAGCGAAGTACGCGTGTTCAATCATTTTTTTTTTTAACGTCACCTGAATTCTCAGCGCATGCATGAAGTTCTCGTTCAATTTTTTAATTTATAAACTTGAGTCGATAGACGGCGCTCATGTTGTGTCGCTTTCTTCTTGGGCTCCCTTCTGTTCGTGCACGTTGTTATAAACACGCATCATTTCCAACTCGCCCACCTCTTTTCCTTACTGCAAAGAATATTATTGTAGAAATCAAACCATATCAGGACCTGCAGTATAGAAGTGTATTTTTGAAGAACACAACTAATGGCAGCCTCGGAACGTTACTCATTGAAGACAAAAGTGTTAGCACCGCCACTCCGTTTCGCGCATACACCACCGCAACCTTGCTTTTGCAATTCTAGTTGTTTCCTGTGTGTGATCATCGACACGCACGCCTCCCTTAGGAAAGACTCACACGGTGGCTTTGGGAGGAATCCTCTCAATCGAGTTCCATTGATTCTGGAAGCACACACAACGGGAACTGTGTCTCTACGTACTCCACTGGAAGCCTAATGCCGTCTCGTCGCATTCGCTTGCACCACCGCCAGAGGTTCAAGACAACTAGTAATGCGTCATCTTGCTTGTTGCCTGTCGCCGCCACTGGGTCTTCGTCACACGATGGCTCGGCGAGCCGTCATCAGCGCAGACCAGCCACCACCGCTGATGCGGCGATGGGTGGTCGCGCCGCCTCACGCACCACTGGCCGAGACCTCACTTCTCTCGCAGGTGAGTGTAACCGCAAAGGCAGATATGCTTGCGCTTTCGGAGACAAGGACAGACACGAAACGAGGATGCAGTGCCAGCCCAGCTCACGTGTCGCACTGATGTTATACGGCAATTGCCTACGCGGTGCACAATAGCCCTTACGAATTGTACATAGCCAAGGTTGCTTCAACATGTCACAAGTGCTCTTGCATTCAACGAAAGAGAATTTATGCTCACGTCACTATGTAGTAGCCATAGTGCTCTATGTACGTAAGTATGCAATATCATCTTCATCATCATCATCATCATCATCATCATCATCGACAGCAGCAGCAGCAGCCTGACTACGTCCACTGCAGGACAAAGGCCTCTCCCATGTTCCGCCAGTTAACCCGGTCCTGTGCTTGCTGCTGCCAATTTATACCCGCAAACTTCTTAATCTCATCTGCCCACCTAACCTTCTGTCTCCCCCTAACACGCTTGCCTTCTCTGGGAATACAGTTAGTTACCCTTAACGACCAGCGGTTATCCTGTCTACGCGCTACAAGCCCGGCCCATGTCCATTTCTTCTTCTTGATTTCAGCTATGATATCCTTAACCCCCGTTTGTTCCCTAATCCGCTCTGCTCTCTTCTTGTCTCTTAAGGTTACACCTACCATTTTTCTTTCCTTTGCTCGCTGCGTCGTCCTCAATTTAAGCTGAACCATCTTTGTAAGTCTCCAGGTTTCTGCTCCGTAGCTAAGTACCGGCAAGATACAGCTGTTATATACTTTCCTCTAGAGGGATAGTGGCAATCTACCTGTCATAATTTGAGAGTGCTTGCCAAATGTGCTCCACCTCATTCTTATTCTTCTAGTTACTTCAATCTCGTGGTTCGGCTCCGTGGTTATTACCTGCCCTAAGTACACATAGTCTTTTACAATTTGAAGTGCACTATTACCTATCTCGGAGCACTGCTCTTTTCCAAGGTTGTTCTACATTACTTTTGTTTTCTGCAGATTCATTTGAAGACCCACCTTTCTGCTCTCCTTGTCTAACTCCGTAATCATGAGTTGCAATTCGTCCCCTGAGTTACTCAGCAATGCAATGTCACCGGCGAAGCGCAGGTTCTTAAGGTACTCTCCATTAACTCTTAACCCTAACTGTTCCCATACAAGGCTTCTGAAAACCTCCTGTAAGCACGCGCTAAATAGCGTTGAGGAGATTGTGTCCCCCTGCCTTACACCCTTCTTGATTGGTATTCTGTTTCTTTCTTTATGAATCACTATGGTAGCAGATGATCCCCTGTAGATTTTTTCCAGGATGTTTATATATACTTCATCGACACCCTGATTCCGCAGTGTCTGCATGACGGCTGATATTTCTACTGAATCAAACGCCTTCTCGTAATCTATGAAGGCTATGTATAGTGGTTGGTTATATTCTGAGCATTTCTCTATTACCTGATTGATAGTATGATTGGTGGTCGATTGTTGAGTAGCCTGTTCGAAATCCTGCTTGTTCCTTTGGTTGATTGAATTCCAATGTTTTCTTTACTCTGTTAGCAATTACCTTTGTAAATAGCTTGTATACTACAGAGAGCATGCTAATCGGCCTGTAATTCTTCAAGTCCTTGTCATCTCCTTTCTTATGTATTAGGATGATGTTTGCATTCTTCCGAGACTCTGGTACTCTTCCTTTCATGAGACACGTCGTAAACAGGGTGGTTAGTTTTTCTAACACAATCTGTCCTCAATCTTTCAGCAGATCTGATGTTACCTGATCCTCACCAGCAGATTTGCCTCTTTGCATGCTCTCCAAAGCTTTCCTGACTTCTTATCATTACTGGGGAGGGGGGTGTCATCTGGGTTACTGCTAGTTCTTATAGTATTAAAGTCGTGGTTGTCCCGGCTACTGTACAGATCTCTGTAAAACTCCTCCGCTATTTTAACTATGCTATCCATATTGGTAGTTGTTTTGCCTCCTTTGTCTCTCAGTGCATACATCCGATTTTTGCCTATCCGAAGTTTCTTCTTCACTGCTTTGACACTTCCTCCGTTCTTTAGAGCGTGTTCAATTCTCTCCATGTTATGCCTTTTTACATCGGATACCTTACGCCTATTAATCAACTTCGAAAGCTCTGCCAGTTCTATTTTGTCTGTTGTACTTGAGACTTTCATGATTTGACGCTTCTTAATTAGGTTCTTCGTTTCCTGGGAAAGCTTGCCAGTGTCCTGTCTAACTACCCTGCCTCCAACTTCCACTGCACACTCTGTAATGATACTCGTCAGATTATCATTCATTGTATTTATGCTAAGGTTGGTTTCCTACTAAGAGCCGAGTACCTGTTCTGAAGCGAGACTCTGAATTCCTGTACTTTCTATTTCAGAGCTAGCTCATTGATTGGCTTCTTGCGTAACAGTTTCTGTCGTTCCTTTCTCAAATCTAGGCGAATTCGAGACCGTCTATGGTCACTGCTTCGTACCTTGCCAACCACTTCTACATCCTGCACGATGCCTGGGTGTGCACTCATTATAAAGTCTATTTGGTTGTTATTTTTGCCATTAGGGCTCCTCCGTGTCCACTTGCGGTTTTCACGTTTTCGGTAGAAGGTATTCAAAATCCGTAAATTATTGCGTTCTGCGAATTGTACTAGTAGCTCTCCTCTGGCGTTTCTAGTACCGATGCCATAATCTCCTACTGCCTGGTCTCTAGCCCGCTTCTTCCCTACTTTTGCATTAGAGTCTCCCATAAGTATTGTATACTGTGTTTTTACCTTACTCATTGCCGATTTCACGTCTTCATAGGAGCTTTCAACTCAAGTGTCATCATGGCTGGATGTAGGCGCGTAAGCCTGTACCACCTTCATCTTTTATCTCTTATTCAGTTTATTTACAATACCTACCACCCTTTCATTAATTCTATAGTATTACTCTATGTTGCCAGCTACGTTTCTGTGAATTAGAAACTCTACTCCCAGTTCTCTTCTGCCAGCCAAGCCCCGATAGCAAAGGACGTGTGCATTCTGTAGCACCGTATAGGCCTCATCTGTCCTCCTAATCTCACTGAGCCCTATTGTATCCCATTTAACACCTTTTAGCTCCTCGAATAGTACAGCTAGAATTCCCTCACTACATAAGGTTCTAGCGCTACACGTTGCCAGGTTCAGGTTCCAATGGCGGCCTGTCCGGATCAAGAGATTCTTAGCACCCTCTTCTGCGTTGCAGATCTGACCGCGGCCGTGGTCAGCTGCTTCGCAGCTGCTGGGGACTGAGGGCTGTGAGTTATTTGACGTACGCATGTGGGAGGTAGTGGCCAGATACTGCACCAGGTTGGCCAATCCTTCTCTGGTGAGGGAATGCGTTTCCGGCAGTGGTTACCGGTGAGGCCGCACCCCAGGCCTCGTATTGCAGTTCCATCAGCACGCGGATTTTTTTTATCTGGTTGAGAACTGCGCGGCACCGGGATTTGAACCACGGACCTTTTGCATGCGAGGCGGATGCTCTAACCACTACGCCATCGCTGCTTTCTGCAATATGTGTTGGCCTTAAGGTCATTTTTCATTGAGCTCCTACTGACCATGTTTCACAACGATTTCGTGCACTTATAAGAACTCAAAATGCTTGAATCAACAGTGCTGCAGCACCGCGTCGAGAAACTTCCATTGCTACGGAGTTACGGCAGTATTTGGTTGATATTGTTACGTGCTTGAGGTTGACGGTAACAAGGCATAGTGGAACATACCCTAAAAAGGCGCCTCATACTGAAGGTGAAGCCGTTGACGTTGTTTGTGGGCTGCGTTGTGGCTGTGGACTTTCTACTGTTATTTCCACGTAACCTTTTGGTCTAAGTGCTGGGTGCCTTTTTGACGACCGAGCTACGCAGTGGACGTCTCCTTAAGCCTGCTACCATGGCTCCCGGTGAAGATACGCCTTCACCAACTACCTCGGCAACGACAGCAACCCGGTACGTCGCCTTAACGCAACCCCGTGATCCCGGAACCTTTACTGGAGAGAACAACGCGAATGTGGACAAGTGGCTGAGCGCGTCAGCAAACAATATGGCCGGGACCCAATCGTTATTCTTGCCAATGTCATATTCTATTGTGACAGTATTCTTGCATTTGGTTTGGAACCCACAAGCACAAAGTCACAAGCTGGGAGATGTTTAGACAGCTTTACAACGTTTGTGGAAACCCGTCTGGTCAGCTGCTTGATGTCCGAAAGCAATTGCCCATACGTACACAGACGTCCACCGAGCCCTACTTGGCTTACATTCAAGACGTCTTCGCATTGTGTCAAAAGGCCGATGCCAACATGGCTGGGGCTGACAAGATATTGCACATTTTGAAAGCAATCACTGACGATGCGTTCAATCTGCTTGTCTTTACAAACGTGACGACCATTGACGCCATAATCAAAGGGGGCTGCCGTCTCGAGCCTTTTTCATCATTTCCAGCACCTACCCAACACCGGTGCAACGTGGTCTTGCGAAAGCACTCCTTGTCAGTCGTCGACAACCGAACACTTGACGCGCACCGTCTGACGTGAACTCGAGGCAGCTTACCAGGCTGCCCACAAACCGACGTTGCCCGACACCTCAACATCAGCTGTCTCTATGATCAAGATTGCTGCGCACCAGGAATTCACTAATCTGGATCTCCTGTCCACTGCATCCGCCATGGATAATACCGATCCCTCGTAAGCATCTGTCGACATGGCACGTCGCCATCCATACTCTCTGCGAGCCAGAAACCTGTCTGAATGGCGAACAGCTGCTGATAAGGCAATCTGCTTCCGCTGTGGTCGCGCGGGACACATCGCTCGCTAATGCCACACTCATTGACCATCTGCACCTTCTAGCCCGTACCCCACTTACAGTAACTCATTCCGTCCACCAAACCACCGTTATCCCACCCTCACTGAGTCTACAGCATTCACTACCCCTGAGAACTACGGCGGCCCTGTCCCGTCGTTGCCGCCGTCTCAAAGCCACCCTTCTCGTTCAAATACGCATTGCCGCTCTCCCTCATCTTTTTTAAC